CATGTAGACCAGCGGTTCTCAACCTTCTGGCCCTTTAAATACAGTTCCTCATATTGTGACCCAACCATAAAATTATTTTTGTTGCTACTTCATAACTGTAATATTGCTACTGTTATGAATCGTAATGTAAATATCTGATATGCAGGATGGTCTTAGGCAACTCTGTGAAAGGGTCATTCGACAGCCAAAGGGATCGCGACCACAGGTTGAGAACCGCTGATGTAGACCAAAATAGATAAACCCAAAACAAATCAAAGCTACCTAGCATCCAACACACTGGTATTTGCTTACACACCAAGCTGGTTGACTAGACTCTAACAACGCTTCTAGTGAATGCTCAGTTTTTTGGCTATACAACCACCCATGACAGTTTGTCATTATATCTCAAATTTGCTACAAGATGAAGGCCAGTTGATCAAGAGCCAGGGCATAGGAAGTCTGGATCCAGGGCCGTGCTTATCTTTCAATGAAAAGTCATCCATCAGTCACAGAGAAGAGCAAAGGCACGATATGGGGCTATTTAAGTAATGGGGCATTCAGTACTTGGTGATTAAGATTATAAATCTGGCCCTAACAGGTTTGGCTCAGTGGATAGAGCATCGACCTTCGGACTGAAGGGTCCCAGGTTTGATTCCAGTCAAGGTCATGTACCTTGGTTGCAGGCACATCCCCAGTAGGGGTTGTGCAGGAGGCAACTGATCAATGTTTCTCTCTCATTGATGTCTCTAACTCTCTAGTCCTCTCCCTTCCTCTCTGTAAAAAAAATCAATAAAATATATTTTTTAAAAAGATTATAAATCTGGTTAAAAACCAAGAGATTAAAACTGAGTCTAGTCAGTTGGCATGAAAAGAATGAGCTCTTAACTGCATTAAACAATATCCCAAATTGATAAGATTTCTAGAAATGAGAAGACCTCTGAAACAGAACCTCTAAGAATACAGTGTAGCTTATCAGTCCCCTAATTGTATGCTAGTTCACTTCCTTCCTTCCTTCATTTATTCATTCATTCATGCATGCCTTGGTTCTCAACACCAAGCCTCCCCTCCCTGGAGCTGAATCATATTGGCTGTAATTGCACTTACATTTGTGGGATGTAATGAGGCATGACTGCCTTTCCTATATGTGTGAGCAGTGTCAAAATATCCAACCTGAGATCTGTCAGTGGGTAGCAGAAAGCCTGGACAAGACATTCATTGTTTGTATTGTAAACAAGGTCCCATTGGCAGGGCGGTTCATTAGACAGGAGAAGGCAAGGCTGCCCAGGGCCCTCTGTGTAAACCCCTTATACTCCTTAATTGCCTGCTTTGTCCTGGATCCTTCTCTTAAGGGCCTATACCCCCCCTCCCCAATCTGTTTCGTTGTCCATGCTTTCTTTATCCCAGGGACCCTTTTAGCAGAGACCTTGATACCAAGTTGCCCTTCTTCCTCTAAAACATTAATAACCACAGACACTGTTTGTCCCAGTCTTAGACATTTACAAATCTGTTTCACAACATGTCTCATTTAATCTGCTCAATAATCCTCTGAGGGGGCCCTCACCAGAAATGTTTGTTGACTTGCCCAAAGTCATGCAGTTGGCAAATGACAGAACTGGGGCATGAACCAGGTCTCCTAACTCCAAACCTCATGATCTTCCCACTGTCCTAGGCCATCTCTGCAGGAAAGCAGTGTGCATCTGCTTCAGCCTTTTACAAATGGGACTCTGGCCCTTGGCCTGTTAGGTCTGAGCTGGCTCACTTGGTGAGGACCCAGGGCTAATGAGGCCAGGAGTTCAGGCTTGGCTCCAGAGCATGTCATTTTGTCCTCTAGCCACTCCCTGGCCCTGTCCTACCCTTAGTCATAAGGTGTCCACAGCCCAGGAAATTGATTCCAGTGCTATAAATATCACCAGAAGCAACTATGCTGCTGATAGACAGTCAGTAGCATTGTCCTTCTAGAACAGTGATGGTGAACCTTTTGAGCTTGGCATGTCAGCATTTTGAAAAACCCTAACTTAACTCTGGTGCCGTGTCACATATAGAAATTTTTTGATATTTGCAACCATAGTAAAACAAAGATTTATATTTTTGATATTTATTTTATATATTTAAATGCCATTTAACAAAGAAAAATCAACCAAAATATGAGTTCACGTGTCACCTCTGATACGCGTGTCATAGGTTCGCCATCACTGTTCTAGAAGGATGGTGGTTGTAGAACTCTGAACACAGCCACTGACCACACCCAACACTGCCTTTATTTACTTACTTATTTATTTTTATTGGGGAGGGGGGAGAGAGAGAGAGAGAGAGAGAGAGAGAGAGAGAGAGAGAGAGAGAAACATCAATCAGTTGCCTCCTGCATTCCCCTGATTGGGGATTGAGCCTACAACCTAGGTATGTGCCCTGACTGGTATCGAACCACCACCTTTTGATGCACAGGATGACGCTCCAACCAACTGAGTTACACCAACCATGGCACCCAATACTGCCTTTAGACTGAGTAACTGGGCCACCTGCCTTGGGCTGCATGCTGTAGAAGGCTTCCCTCTGTCTTTTCTCAGGCCACACCCCTTCACATGGGGTGAGAATTCTGCAAGGCCAAAGGGATGGGCCTTTTTAGACCATACTCTATCTACCCAGGACCAAATTCCCTGCCTAAATGCATTCCGGGGCCTGCCCAGGCCTCAGCACCTGGTCTGTCTGTCATCCTGAGAGTACCCTGAGCTGCTGTTCTGAGTATTGCTAAGGCTGAAGAGTAGGGCAGGTGTCTGGGAAGCATACACACAGGGACCCAGGGAGAGATGGGGCCACAACCTGGAAAAAGGAAGGTCAGGTGGTGAGCCAGGACCTCCATCAGTGCGCATCCTCTGGGTCCCATAAACACGAGGATGAGTCTGACAGCGGGTAGGGAAGCTGGGTGTCTAGGCGGCTTTCTCCCAAAATTGAGAGCCTAGTGACAAACAGAAAATAAATAGGCCCAGGTTGCTAGGAAAGCTGAGCCTATTGAGCAAAAATGGGCCATTCCTAGGCCAGAGGTAAGGTGCCAAGAGAGCAAGGCCTTCTCATGAGGCTGACCATGAGTGCAGGAGTCACAGTGACCGGGTGCAATGCAAACCCCCACCCCCCTGAGGGCCTGGGATCTTATTACCAACTAGAGGGTTGGGGTGTCAGAATTCCCAGGAATGCCTTTTCAAATCATTACATGTTATTTTGGGGAGCATAAGAGAAGACAGATGTCCCTCATTGACATGAGCTGTGACTCTACAGGCTGCAATCCCATGTCTCCTCTCCTCCCAGTAAAACTGCCCAGAGTGTGATCAGCAGGAAGGCAACCGCTAGGGTAGGTAAATAAAAAATAAATTGACAGAGAGGATTGGCTGAGAGCCTCTGGGGATTAACTAACTAATTAATCCCCACAACAGTTTGACGAGGAACTAATTAATCCATTAAGCACTTTGAGGGACCCAGGCCTGGCTAAGTGCCGGAGAGGCTTCTCTGACCTCGGGAGGTGACTCTGGGAGTGGGCCTTCTCAGAGGCCTTCAGGAGGACCTGTGTGAGGGCCATGCCTCTGGGGCACTGTCATCAGAAGGCTGCCTGTCCAGCTGTTTCTAGAGTCAGGCTCGCTGTTAGTCTGCCCAGAGAAACAAATACAGGAAACTGCTCTATGGAAAGGCTGTGGCCTCCAGCTTCTCGAAGGATCTGCTGAAGAAATATGGAGCCTTGGACAGTTAGAATGGGAAGGGCCCTTGGAGACCCACTTTGGAGATGGAGACTCAAGTTTACACATGGCCCTGGCTCACCATTTGGACCAGGAGACAACCGATATTTGTTTATGGTTATCACTACTAAATGCCCAGGCAAGGGGATGGGATGCTCTCTGTACATGCTGATTGAACTCCACCTTGGACTCAGCAGGTGTCAAAACCTTTCTAAAACCAAATCTATGTGGTCTGATTAAGACTAAGATGATAATTTTATATTTATGTGATTTGTCATGTGCTTTGGTGACAAATTCAAGACTGGTCACAACGTATCGAGGTGGGTCCTCAATTCTACTTAGATATTTCCTATCATTTGCTTTTCTGACGTTCTCTTAAATCTTATCTGCCCCTGAGGCCCAGTTTAGCACCTGTTACAACCTGATCTCGGAAAATTATCTCATAGCAGCCATCTGGGGATGTCAACAGCCCTTACCTTTCCCAGAGAAATTTTTCCTCTAGATTCTTCTTTCTCATTACAAAACAAAGATATCAGGTGACATACTCTTAGAAATCTGGGGACAGCCATGCCTAGAACCACAAGAGGAAATTGTAAGGCGAACTGTGACTAGTCATGAATGCTGAGTGGGAGCCAGACGTGCTTCCAGGTGCCAAGGATGGACGGCTGAAGTGGACAAGATTATGCACCCATGAGGGGCCCCCATCTAGTAGAAGGGACGGAAGAGGCAATAGTTAAGTAGAAGTTGCCAGTCAAGAGTGATGACTAAAGTGGGGGAGCACTGTCAGGCCACTGTGAACCCAAACCCCACCCTCCAGAATCAGATCAGCCAGGGCCACTGTGTCACAGCCTGGGGCTGCTAGCTGCCGAAGCCTGAAGCCCGAAGCCCAAAGCCCGGTTAGTGCCTGATTCTCAAGCTTTGCATCATCAGCACAACAGAGAGGACTTCTTAAAACACAGATTGCTGGGCCCCACTGGGGTATCTGATTCACTAGGTCTGGGGTGGAGCCCAAAACTTTGTCTTTCTAACATGTTCTTACATGATGGTGAGGCTGTTGGGTCCCGGGAACCACTGTGCTAGAGGTTCTGATCCACCCAAGTGCACTAAAATAGGGGTGTCTCAACCATGACCCCTAGCCTCCATGACAGCTACCAGGCCAAGGCTCTGCTGAGAGACAGCCAGGCATGCCATCCTCTTCATTCCTCAACAGACCTTTGTTTTCCTGCTGCTTTTAATGTTTATTTGTTTGTTTGCTTGTTTTAGAGTGGTCTCTCTATCTACATTTGTTTTTCCACATAGAGTGAAATGGATGAGAACCAAATCCAGATGGCTGGAGATGATGTGGATTTGCCCGAAGATCTCCGAAAAATGGTAGATGAAGATCACGAGGAGGAAGAAGATAAGGATTCTATTCTGGGGCAGTTACAGAATCTTCAGAACATGGACTTGGACACCATAAAAGAAAAAGCCCAGGCCACAATCACAGAAATCAAGCAGACGGCAGAGCAGAAGTGTTCTGTGATGTGAAGGGCGGGCGAGGCTGTAGAAGGGGACCAGGTCAAGGTGGAGGTGACCACTCTCCTACGGAACGTCTTGAGCAGCACATATTCAATATGGTGAGCAGGGTTAGAAAAACCGTGATGGCAAAACTCTCTACAAACACGTAGACAACAACTTAATGTTCTAATTGTTCCTGGTAGAATGTTTAGCTAGGACCTGGCAGCAGAAAATGATACGTTCCTTTTAGCTATAAATATGGCTAACATGAAATTTCAGCTGTGAATGACATAGAACACATACCTGCTTAAAGATCTTCAGGACAGCCAGAAAGAAATAAAAGCAAATGGAATTTTCTCTTTGATTTCCTTCCTTAGAGGTCAAATTCTCACCTAGTCCAATCATTAGCATGACTCCAGAGCCCTTCAGAGAAAGATGTGGAAGGTCAGGGTGCCACCAGGAGCCCAGGCTGCAGGCTCATTGGCAGGCAAAGACCACACCACCCCCACTCCCAGGCTCCTTGACATTGTTGATGCTTTTCATCAAGTGTGGCACTTGGACAGTTGGAAGCCAAGGGGCAGTAGTGGGGATGTGGTAAAAGATGAGGTACGAAGGCAGAGAACAGACTTCATCAGCCCTTAGCCTTGTAGAGCATCATAGGAACCTCATGAGTGGACCATACAATATTTGTCCTTTCCTGACTGGCTTATTTCACTTAGCACAATGTCCTCAAGGTTCATATCTGCTGTAGCATTGTATTATAAGTTCTTTCCTTTTTAAGGCTGAATAATATTTCATTGGATATATATGCCACATTTGGCTTATCCATTCATCCCATCCATGGACACTTAGGTTGCTTTCACCTTTTGATGATTGTGAATAAAACTACTATGAACATGAGTATACAAATATCTATTCTAGTTCCTGCTTTCAATGTTTTTAGTGACATTTTGTGGAATGCCACAAGAAGTGGAATTGCTGAATCATCCTTAGGTTTTTGTCTACATTAGAAATAGCAGTTTGGATACAAATAATATTAAATGTAAAACTGTAATTAAAAAATAGAAATTTAAATAAATATAATATTAGAAATATTCAAACTTCTAAAGTAACACTAAGTTAAAAGATATCACAATGGTAATTCAAAAATGTTCTTACCTCAGTAGTGAGGGGAATACCAGGAGCTTCTCTGAGTTGTTGGCAGAGTTTTATTTATTCACTTGTGTATAGGTCTAGCTACATAATTTGTGGGGCCTAGTGAAAATGAAAAGGCCATGGCTGGCTCTGAAGTCAGTGTAACCTCCTTTCAAAGGGATGTTGAGTGGGAGCCAGATGTGCTTCTAGATGCCAAGGAAAAAGTTGTTGAAGAGAAATTATGAATTTTAATATTTACAGTAAAGCATTAAACTAAGGATAGGATCCTTCTAAAGGTGTTTCAACACCCATGAAGCTCTCTATTCACTTTGTAATGATTCACTGAGGTGTAATTTATGTTTTAATCACTTTTCTCTATATGTGCTATCCTTCACAACAAATAAATTATATATTACATATATATACTAGAGGCCCGTTATTGCACAAAATTCATGCATGGGGGGGAGGGTTGTCCCTCAGCCTGGCCTGCACCCTCTTTAATCCAGGACCCCTCGGGGGATGTCTGACTGCCGGTCCAACCAGCAGTCAGACATCCCTCTCCCAATTGGGGAACACTGGCTCCTAACCACTCACCTGCCTGCCAGCCTGATTGCCCCTAACCACCTCCGCCTCAGCCCCCACCACAGTGGCTTTGTCCGGAAGGAGGACCAGACAACCGGAAGATGTCGGGTCGACCCTGTCTAATTAGCATATTACCCTTTTATTAGTATAGATATGCATACATAATCCTCACCTCAGGGTATTTTTTTATTGATTTTAGAGAGAGGAGAGGGAGAGAGAGAAACATCGATGTGATAGAGAAACATGGATCAGTTGCCTCCCGTACAATCCCTGACCAGGGATCAAACTTGCAACCTGGGTATGTACCCTCATCAGGAATCAAACCCTAGGCTCTTCACTGCATGAGATAACACTCCAACCAATTGAGTCACACTAGCCAGGACATAAATTATATATATATTTAAAGAAAGAGCAATTTGGGGAACTACAAAAATTATGCTTGGAGTTGCTACTAAGGTTCCAGTGCCAATGCAAGAAAAAAGGGCCCTGACACTTTCTGTCTGTCCAATTTTGTCAGCCAAGATTGAATGGGGGAGTACCTTTGAAAAAAATTATGTTTGGAGAATGTTACAAAATTAGGTATTGTATAAATTAAATTCACATTTAGAAATCCCATAAAATATTTGCCTTTAAAAAAAAAACAAAAAACACCAACCTTTACTATGGAAAAAGTCCAAACCTTACCAAAACCAGAAATATAAGTACAACAAATCCAAAGGTACCCAAGTTTAGCTTTTTTGCCCTAAAGTGCTGCTATCCTTGGGACACTATACTATGTTGTTAGAACTTCATCTGTGAACTGACAGCATCATTCTTAGATGATGTCTAATTCCTGGAGTTGTGGAATGATAGCATAAGTGTACCAAGCGATGCTTGCTCATTCTCTTATGTCATTTCAGAAAACCTTTAAACATTTCCAAGTTGTATTTCTTTAAAGCTCATTCCTTTAACTTAGGATGCTAACCCCACAGTAAGTGTAGTAAGCTTCTGACGTTTGAATGAAGACCCTTCATGGGAGCATCCTGACAGCCTTATTAAAGCATCTGGAGGGTAAATGGGGCTAATTAGTTGGGTCAGGACATATAAGGTCAGCATTTTTAGGGATTAAGGGGTCAAAGGAGAAAGTACAATAAAAATTGACAAACAGCCGAAACCGGTTTGGCTCAGTGAATAGAGCGTCGGCCTGTGGACTGAAAGGTCCCAGGTTCGATTCCAGTCTAGGGCATGTACCTGCGTTGCGGGCACATCCCCAGTGGGAGATGTGCAGGAGGCAGCTGATCGATGTTTCTCTCTCATCGATGTTTCTAACTCTCTATCTCTCTCCCTTCCTCTCTGTAAAAAATCAATAAAATATATATTTTAAAAAAAAATTGACAAACAAATGTCTATAAAATTGCTGTCAACTGTAAAAGTAAACTAAAGCTATTAGCCTGAAGTAGAATTTCAGGAGCCACTTTGGAAGAAGAACAGCATTCCCTACAAGGTGCTTCCCGCTCAGAGAGGTGGGGGGTGGGGGGGCCTGATTGCACTGGACTCCTCATTCCAGGAAAACTCACATCAAAGGCGGTGAAGGAGACCCCAGCCAGCGCTGATGCTAACAAGACCAGAGCAGATGGAACTGGCTTTTGAAAACAAGTGATTTCTGTGAACTATCAAATGATTTCTGTGGACTATTTGGGAAGGAAAGCAAAACAGTTTGACATTTTCCAAACACCTGGGAAAGAATTAATCTTGATGACTAACTATAGGAATGTGAAAAAAAAAATGTGCCCTCGTGTTAATTAACGGCAGTGTGAAATTAGACAAGTTACTTAACCTGTCTCCTCCTCTGTAAAATAGAGGTCCTTGCAGTTATTCATTAAATCAACCACGACTGTGTGCAACATATATTCCGGAGGCCAATAGAAAAGTTCCAATCTCATGCAGCTTAGATTCTAGTGAACGTAGATGGGTAACAAACAAGTAATCAATAATAATAAATTAGTTTTGGAGAGTGGAAGGTGCTTTGAGAAAAATAAAATTACAAGAAGAATCATGTATACATTTGGGGGCAGGCATTTCAGGGAGTGAGAACAGTCTGTGCAAAGGTCCGGAGGCAGGAAGGGGCCTGGAGGAGTTCAAGAAGAGGAAAAAGGCCAAGGTGGCTGTAACTCATGAGCAAGTTGGGGCAGATAGGAGAGTGGGCACAAGTGCTCAATGAGGCTATTTGAGAAATGGGGAAGGGGTAAGTGTTATAGAGCAGTGCATGGAGTTTGGATCTTATCCTAAGTGTAAAAAATAGTAAGCCTGTGAAGGGTTTTATGCAGGGAGTGGCATGATCTGATTTATATTTTTGAAAGATTATCTGGCTGCTGAGTGGAGTGGAGAGTAGGGAGCTAAAAGTAGCAGGAAGGGGGCCAGTTAGAAGGCTAAGTCAGTAATCCGTCCAAGCAAGACAGGCCGACGGCCTGCAATGTGGCGGAGGTGGAGAAGAGTGTCCAGATATGAGAAATAGTCCAGAAATAGAGCCAAAGGGGTGTATTGAATTTGGGTGATATGGGAAATAAAGTATTGTAATAATAAGGACCACCATAGGGTGCTGTGAAATTATGAGAATGGGCTCCCTAATTTTTTTTCCAAAAAAATAAAATAAAATAGGAGAGAAGAATCCTGAAGATGGCTAAACTCTGGTGGGGGTGGGGTGAAGGCTGTTACAAAGTGGGCCTCCCTGGATTTGTCCTCTGACACTCTTAAGAGGATTGACTGGCTTCAAGGCCATCATCCCCTCGAGATAAATGTCTCTTGTGCTTCCCCTAGACACTCTGAATTCAATTAGTTTAATTAGAAAACAAGTAAAGAGGAATTATCTTAATATAGCGTTGCTCCTAGCAATCAAAAAAAGCCCATTTCTTTGGCAGGAACCCAAGTTTCCCTCTTTTACTTACAGTCTGAGATAACAATGTAAATATTCCTTTGCGCAGGGGTAGGGGAGTAGGGGGGTGGGGGAGGGGGGGCAAAAAGGTAGACATCTCTTATCTAATAGATCATGTGTTAGTTTTAATAATAATACTTCCTGATATTTTTCATCCTTTAATGGAATGCTAGTAAATATTTAAAACCCGTTAATTGGGGGATGAGGGAAAATGCCCTGATTTGTAGTGTTTGCCAATATCTGTGGTGGAAATCTTCCCACTATGGCAGATATCAGGCTACTAACGTGACGTCACTGAACCCAGAGCTGGGAAGAGGAGCTAACCATAGGCTCTAGTGGCCAGTGACTAGGAATATCAGTTGTTTGCCAAAACGCCATGCAAATCTATTGCCAAGGGATTCTTTTTCTTACATAAAGTCTGCTTGGATTGGCATCAGCTGCAAAAGCAAGCTCAGGACTGTGGTAATCAGGGTGGTAAATGATTGGGAGTCATGTAAAGAGTAACTTCATTGTGTCTGTATAACAAACATATTCGTCCAGGTTCATCCACAGACTTACTCCAAGTCCCAGCATGGGACACCCAAGTGCAGGATCCAGATAGCTGAGCATAGCATGGTAACGCCTTGGTGGCCTAATAGAGAGTTGGGGAGCCCAAGTCCTGTCACAGATGTTCTGTTTCATCTTGGGCAAATCCCTTCACTTCTATGTTCCCCCATTTCCACATCTATAAAGGAAAGGTGGGGGCTAGAGGTGAGAGAGCCCACAAACTTCCCCCTTCTAAATATTAGAAAGATTTCTCTGAAATAACAGAAAACTACATCGAGATTAGTTTTATGGTGTTGTTCCCCAAAATATCGTACTTGGGAAACAATGAGAATGCCAAAGAAGCAGAGACCTCTTGCTAATTACCGGCTGGTCTGCAGAGAGCTGTGGACCCTCTTCTTACACAAAAGGAAGTCTTTCAAACAGCATTACTGCCTGGAAACACAGCAGCTTCCAACTGCCCTGGTTTCATCTTGTGATCAGATGAAATGTCTGTTCCCACACACACATCCACGAGGGCTCTCAGTTCAGCCAGAAATGCCTACGTGGGCCCATCTCTTCACTGCTTCATGTATTTTAGCCACAAATATATGATGGGATTATTCACTGCAGTTTCGTAATATCAACACTTGATTTAATTTAGTCTGAAAACACTAGAGAATATTCAGATTGTCATATTGACTTGTAGACTGGTGCATAAGAGAAGTTTATCATTTGTGCCAATGTAATGATGTTTCTGATAACCATCTCAAGAATATTTTCTTTTTTAAAATATATTTTATTGATTTTTTACAGAGAGGAAGGGAGAGAAATAGAGAGTTAGAAACATCGATGAGAGAAACATCGATCAGCTGCCTCCTGCACACCTCCTACTGGGGATGTGCCCGCAACCCAGGTACATGCCCTTGACCGGAATCGAACCTGGGACCCTTCAGTCCACTGAGCCAAACCGGTTTCGGCATACTTTCTTTTTTTAAGTTTTATGTTATGTGTATCATTGTGAACTCAGATCTAAGCATATTTATTTATTTTTATTGATTTTAGAGAGATAGGAAGGGAGCAAAAGAAACATCAATGTGAGAAAGAAACATTGACCAGTTCCCTTCCATATATACCCTGACCAGGGATTGGATCCGAAACCTAGTTATGTGCCTGGACCAGAATCAAACCCGAGACCTTGCGGTGAACAGGACAATGGTCCAACCAACTGAGCCACATTGGCAGGGCTGTTATATATTGTTTGTGTTTTTAAATACATATATATTTTTAAAATTGATTTCAGAGAGGAAGGGAAAGTAAGAGAAAGATAGAAACATCAATGATGAGAGAGAATCATTGATCGGCTGCCTCCTGCACACCCCTACTTGGGATGGAGCCTGCAACTGGGGCATGTGCCCTTGACCAAAATCGAACCTGGGACCCTTCAGTTCACAGGGCCAGCATTCTATCCACTCAACCAAACCAGCTAGGGCTGTGTGTGTGTGTGATGATTATATGAGTTATGCTTTGGCTGAAACTGAAGTTTAGCTGCCTACCTGAATGAACATGGACTAGTGAGAGGTGATGGTCCCATAAGGTGGGATGAGGCAGGTGGAGTTACTCCAGGATGAAACCACATCTACTAAGGGGATGACCCACATACAGACAATCTACTTGTTTTATATACTTTATGAAGCGATAGCACACAGGACCTTAAATTGACTTTTTTTTTTTTTTTTTTTTTGCCCAAACCTGAAACATCACTTCAGGGGAAAATTCCTAGAGGTTGTCGTCAGATGGCATGAACTCACTTTGTGACCATGCCCCTACCCACCCAGTGCTAAGGGAACTCTGTAGACACTCATTTCTCTCAAGAGTGCTGTGGTGAAGCAGTCTGCCTAGAACACTTCCAGAAACAGGCCCTCCTGCATATACCCAAGAGAAAAGAGCCTCTTTATGCTGCCACCCTGCAGAATTGCTGCTTGCACTTAGATTGTGTTTTGTTAGGACTCACCAGTGTCTATGTCCTTGCTCCCCAAAATCTTTCTCCCAACTTCTGTTGTCTGTATTGTGCTTCCCACGTTACACAGAGCCTCCCTCTCGTATAAGACACCCCATACCCCGACCACCCCACTCTCCTCACTTTTGGGAATGTTTCTCTGAGCTATGCCTGGTTTAAAGGGGCTTTAGCTGCGTCTCGATTCAGCCCCTATGGGGTGGGTGGGAGGGGGAGTTTTCTTTGATCCACCTAATGAATTAATGAATTAAACAGAGGTGGAGTTCAGAAGCCAGGCTCCTTACTTTTGCTGAAGCTGGGCTGCTTAGGAGCTGGCGTAACTGCCAGAAAATTGCTAGAAGAATTAGGGACGTGGCCGAGTCCATTCACTGTCCCTAATCCAGTTCTTGGGAAATACACATGTAGATTAGCCCCTAACAATGACCCCCGGCTGATTGCTTGGAGTACCCTCCACTGTGCCCACAATGGTATTGACTAGCTCTTTATGTCGCTCACAAAGGAAGCCCCAACCTCCCCTTGTCCCTCTTCGCCCTGTTTCCCCCCTAGTCCCTCACTAGTGGCTGTTGCAGTCTTTTCTGCTCCCCTCCCCCCAGCCTCTGAAATAAACAGTAAATAAAAGCCCACCTCACCTGGGCCTATTAGGGCGAGCTGGGCAGTTCCAGAGGGAATTAACTTTGGAAAACAAGGCGCTAAGCCCTCTTAGCGTGTGGGCAGGAGCTTAAGGAAACGCTGCCAATCTTTGTTTAACGGTGATTATAGAGATCAGTTTAATATTGGACAAGTTTACATAAAAAGCATTCTCAGTCAGAGGGGAAACCGCAAACACCAATTAATTACCCCCAAGGCCGCCTTCTGGTCACCAAGGCCTCAGCACCCCAGCACCTGATCTACATAACGGTACATGGGACCTTGTGGGGTGCGCCAGGCTGATTTCGGGCGGTGCCTTTGACAGCCTGGGCAGCCTGAGCAGAGCCTGGGGCAGGCTCCTTCACCTGCTTGTGGTGAGATCCTCTTCAGTCCTCCTGGACTCCAGCGCCTCTGTCTAGGGATTCTGGCTTCACTTATTTCTACCTCAGGTTCTTAGATGGAGGAACGTTTTGATTCTTTCCAAAACATCACCCTCTACCTTAATAATTACAAATGAGCCGCAGCTGGAAAACACTGGCCACAGCGTCAGTAGGCCTGAGTTCTAGTCCTGACCCTTCTACTTAACAGCTTACTGTGAGACTCTGTTTCCTCTTCTGTAAAATGGGGACAAATACATATAAGGTCCAGCTCACCTCACAGGGTTGTGGGGATCTGATGACAGGAAGAATGTGAAAGGATTCTAAAAAGTATAGTGATCTGCAAGCACTATAAAACACATATTGATTTTCATTTATTTAGCGTTTTCTTCAAATTAAAAATAATTTAACTTGAATCAGTTTCTGGCCGCTTCAAACTCATATGCTTGCTATTTTAACTTGCCTTTTTATGTTTGTATTTAAAAAAATAAAGCGATGCGTGTAATTAACTTCCCTCCATTTGCCCACTTAAGGATCCTTAGCTTAGTCGCAGGTCAATTTCAATGTGGAGGATCCAAACACAGGTGTTCTTCTCTTGTGTCTCCTTTGTCTTGTCTCCCAGGCTGACCTTGGGCTCCTCACGGCCAGGGGCCCAGTCCTTCCCCTTGTGGGGCTGACAGGGCTTGCGTCAGAGCTGGACCCTCAGAAAGAACTCAAAGGGAATAACCAAACGCAGCGCAGGGAGGGGATGCCCCTGAGTAAGGATCAAGGCACCTGTTGCAAAGATTTGTAAGAATCTCTAGGTCCTTTCCTAAAAGTCGTCGGCTTTTCAGGAAGCATTTAAGTTCTGCAAAGGCTGGGGTCCGCCTGGGGTCCGGCCTCAGCCAGCGGTCACAGCACGGGAGGTGTGGACAACAAAAAAAGCCCGCCCCCCCCCCCCCCAATCATCTTTCCATTTGGCCTCCGAGCCACTCTGGGCCACGGAAGCCTTGACGGGTCTCCCAACAGGAAAGAAAGGCAAGCGGTTACGCCTGTAACTCCCAGGGAAGCTGGAGGCTCCCCACCCCTCAAGGTCCTTCCCCAGTCAGCCTGAGGTGGGTCCCCTCCTGCGCCTGGGGAGTCGGTGGGTGGGGAGGGTTCCCGCAGGACAGGCTGAGAGAGCGAGGATCTCCCGCGGGACTGAGCCCGGCAGCGCGTCCAACTGGGGCCTCCCAGGCTCGGGCTGGGCCGTGGGGCACTGCGGGTGCCGGGCCTGCGGGCGCAGACGGCCCACCGCCTCCCGGCCGGTGCTGGATGCTGGAGAGGGAGCCCGCGCGCCAGTGCCAGTCGGGGAGGAGCAGTTAACACAGACACACACCAAGTAAACCCCAAGCCCGGGCTTCGGACCACGGAGCCCAGAGGATTGCCTGTGGGGGTACAAAGGGGGACAGAGGGGAAATTACAAGCAGGGCGGACTGACTTCCACCGCTGTGGAGCCTTTCCGAGGGTCGCCCCGGGCGCTCAGCCCCGCGGAGGCAGGAGCCTGGGGCGGAGGCGAGTCTGGGATGGGGGAGGTGAGTCCCAGGAGGAGGGAAGTCCTAGACGAAGAGGTGAGACCGAGGGCGTCGGGCCCACTGAGGCAAGGCGGGGCCGCCGACCCCCAGACCCGGGCCCGGGCCTGTCAAGCCCCGCCGCTGGCCCCGGGGTGTGCTTGAGGGAATAGGAAGATGAGAGATGCTGCCCCCGCCCGGGGGATCCGCCCGCTGCGGGGCGGGGGTGGGGGTGACTGGGTCGGGAGCCAGAGGGGAGGAGCCAGGGTGAGTGGGTCCCCAGCCTTTAGCCCCCGGAGCCCCAGCTCCCGGGAGTCGCCCCTTTGACTCCTGCGGGGACCGAGGCGGCCGCGGGCCCAGCGCTCGCCCGCCTCCAGCGAGCGCGGCTCTGCCGGCGTGGCCAGCCGAGCTTGACCTTGGGTCGGTAGCCATCGGGTTGGACGGCCGTGCACGGGAAGCACCGTCTTCGAGCCTCTTCTCTGTCTCCGAAGCGGACGGCGCTGCCGAGAGCGCGGGCCCGCCCTCCTGCCTCCCGCTCTCCCCATGCACCTGCCCGGCTGCGCCCCAGCCATGGCCGACGGCAGCTTCTCGCTCGCCGGCCACCTGCTCCGCAGCCCGGGCGGCAGCACCTCGCGGCTGCACAGCATCGAAGCCATCCTGGGATTTACCAAGGACCACGGGATCCTCGGCTCCTTCGAGGCGGAGCCGGGCGCCGGGGTCACCAAGGAGCGAGACCGGAGGCCGGGCGCCAGGGCTACCTGCCCTAAGGCGCCCGCAGGAGGCGCCCAGCCCTGCCCGCCGCCCGCCCCGCCGCCCGCTCCGGAGTACGAAGGTGAGTGCGCACCCGGGCTGCTGCGAGCCCCCAGGGAGCCCAGACTTAGACACGCCGCAGGACAGAGCGCCCAGCCTTAATTTTTATCAAGGCTCCTGGGTGCGGGTTTGATGGCAGGAGCTTCCAGTGTGAGTTCAGAGAAAGCGTAGGGGAGCCTCGCAGCCCTCACCGCCCCCCCCCCCTCCCGCCGGGTCATCCCGGAGCCCGCAACTGGCTGCCAGTGCGCTAGGGTAGGCGGGGTGGGTCTAGGGAGACTCCCGGGAGTGTCTCTGACCTTCCGGGGCCCCGCCGCCCCAGGCCCCCGCCCCTACTGCCCCAAGGAGTCCGGGGAGGCGCGGCCGAGCCCGGGGCTGCCCGTCGGACCCGCAGGCGACGCGAAGCTGTCGGAGGAGGAGCTGCCCAAGAAGAAGCACCGGAGGAACCGCACCACCTTCACCACCTACCAGCTGCACGAGCTGGAGCGAGCGTTCGAGAAGTCCCACTACCCCGACGTGTACAGCCGCGAGGAGCTGGCGGGCAAGGTCAACCTCCCCGAGGTCCGGGTCCAGGTAAAGCGCTCAGGTCGTCCCAGTGTGTATGTGTGTGTTGTGAGGGCGGGGGGGGGGGGGGGGGAGTGGGGTAGTCCGAGCTGCAGCCAATGCTCCCTTGAATCCCCGGAGCCCACGCATTTATGATGCCACTTTTCCCATTGGCCTTCCTCGGCTTGGCTGGCCAGAGCCCCAACCGAGCGTCACAGACCTTCTTCCACGTGCCCCGCGCTGTCCTTGGGGCACTCGGTGCCAGTTCTCAGTTCCACATCCCCTCTGGGGTCTCCGTCTTCGGAGCTAAAGAGGGGAATCGGGACCGCGGGCGGGCAAGGACCGCTCATTAGTCGCAGCCAGGATGGGGTGTGTGTGGAGGGGTGAGTACCGAGCAGAGAGGGAATGCAGGCAGCAGCTGAGGGTTACCAGGTTGGGACCCCGAATGCCACCCTAGTCTCCAGTTGCGAGCACTCTGTTTAAAACCCCAAATCCTGTCTTCCTGCGAGCGGCCTGGCGCCTCGCCGTTGAAACTTCCCGGGGATTTATTTAAGGGCCTGACTTTGGCTTCTCTGGTGCACATCCAAACAGCTTCCTGCTGCAGAGGCCCTTTCTTTTTGTTGTAAAGGGGTTTTTGCTTTAATTAAAGCTGAATTATCTTTAATCCCTGATCATTAAAATATTTGAAAGCCTTAAATATTTGCTAGTCATCTGTGAAAAATCTGGGAGGATTTCCAAATTGGGAGAGTTTACAGAGGCCTGAAAGGAGTCACTGGGAACAAGTTTCACTGCATCTGAAAGGCAGGGGAGCTAAATGGTGTGTGTGTGTGTGTGTGTGTGTGTGTGTGTGTGTGTGTGTGTGTATTTCCAGGAAGTGAGATTCTCAGATGGTTGGGGGCTTTCAGCCTTGTCTTAAAAGTAAAAGGGGACAAGCTCTTGTCTTTGTCTCTTCTGCTCAATTTGAGGGTTTAAAGTAACGAGTAGATGTCATTGTTTTAAAACATAGTTCCCTAAGGTGGCTCAGGATTAACTGGCAAGGACAGTTCCATTTCTCCTAAAGTGTGGCAGTGACGCTGCAATGGTGTCATGGGAGGGGTGGACATATTAGCACCTGCTGTCCAGGGCGGGCAGCTGGTCTTAGGAAGAGGAAAAGCATCAAGTGAAAGATGGGAAAGAGTTGAGCCAAGCCTTCCAGTGCCCTTCGGAATAGAGGCCTGGCCCGTCAGGGGCTGCCTTCACACCTGATACCGCCTCTGTCCCACTTTCCTTCCTCCCTCTTCACTTGTCCTCTGACTGGTCCTTTGGGCTTGTCCTCTTGAGAACAGTGTCTGTGACTTCTCTGTGACTACAGGGCCAACAGTGTCCAGCGTATGGTGGGTGCTTAATGCAGGGCTACGATGTAATCAGATGGGGGTGGGGTGCTAAGCAGGGTCTCAGCTGTGTTGAGGCAGCAGTATAAGAGCTGACTTTCCAGGTCTTTAGCCCTCCAACTGGGGATACAGGATCCATCTGAAGACCTTGGCTGATATTCTGAGGGATGGAGTGGGACATCCTGAGAAGCAGGGGACGGGGGATGGGAACCCTCACCCAAGCCAGTGTTTCTCTTTTCTCGGTTATCTATCTGCAAACATCTCCTATTTCTGGGGAAATCGGAGCCTCAGGTATGTAGGTGAATACGTTGTGGGAAGGGAGCAGGCACTTACATTTTTTGTTCTCCCCTCCCCCCCAAATCCCAGCCTTACGCACACTTGCCCTGCTTGGCTCGGATAGGGGTGCCTCTTTTCTCAGCTCCCCTGGAGGTGCTCCTCCCCACCCTTATGGACTCACAACTGCTTTCTCCCCCTAAAGTCTCTAAAGTCATATCTACCCTCCATTTCCCTTCATAAAGTAACACTGAAGCCACCAGTTTGTCCAAAGTTCTTTCTAGATACTCCACTAAACTAGACCAATCCTCTCCAAGAATTGTTTCTGAGGATGCACCCTTTCTTGTGATTTTATCAGATCAAGAATGGATGTTTCATTGTTAAGAGACCAGACTTCACTCTGGCATGCACTTTCCATATGTAAAGGGGAAAAAAAGACTTGAACTCATTGAACCCATCTTAGGGTAATGTCAGAACTAGCTCCATAAAGTAAAAGTAGATATAATGAACTATTATAACCATCAAAAGCCCTTTATAAGCAATATAAAAAATTCTAAATGAGTATCAATTAAATAAAAATAAAAATCTTATCAAAGCAGCAACTCAAATATACTTAGGATAAAACTAACTCACACTTTCCTAAAAGTTATCATCACCAGTTATTCGTGGAAATGGCTGCACCTTAGCATCCAGTGATGCTAGTTACAGTGCTTAGCGTATTTGGTTTACATACATGTTTATAACAGCGACTAAAGGTAGGTAAAGCACAGAAAGTCTGATGGGGGGGGCGGTTACTGAGAGCTGAACCACACAGGGGGGAAGCAGAGTCAAAACGCAGTGTCAGGAGGGGTTGCCAACCAGCAGGTCACAGAAATGGGTGAGATCTGGGTTCTAAAGCCCCACGGTCTGATTCCAGGGTTAACTTCACTTTTTTGGAAACAGATACAACCATAGCTATAGGTGAGATACACAGGGACAAGTGTGGGACAAGGAGACCCAGAGGAAAGAGAGGAGGAGGAAGAGGACGGATAATGCGAGTGGGGGGGTGATGGGTGGGGGTGAAAGAAGTAGGTGCGAGATGGCCGCGCCCCAGTTTTACTTGGAGGTGGGGGGGAGTGAGCTGGCTGGGCTGCAGCTCCACGGCTGCTGTGCCGCCTTCCGCAGGTGTGGTTCCAGAACCGACGGGCCAAGTGGCGACGGCAGGAGAAGCTGGAGGTGTCGTCCATGAAGCTGCAGGACTCGCCCCTCCTCTCCTTCAGCCGCTCCCCGCCCTCGGCTGCTCTGGCGCCCCTCGGGGCGGGCGGCGGCGGGCCGGCGGGGGGGGCCCTGCCGCTGGAGTCGTGGCTCGGGCCGCCGTTGCCGGGCGGGGGCGCCACGGCGCTGCAGAGCCTGCCGGGCTTCGGGCCGCCGGCGCAGAGCCTTCCCGCCAGCTACACGCCGCCGCCGCCGCCGCCGCCCTTCCTGAACTCGCCGCCGCTGGGCCCCGGCCTGCAGCCCCTCGCGCCGCCGCCGCCCGCCTACCCCTGCGGGCCCGGCTTCGCGGACAAGTTCCCGCTGGACGAGGCGGACCCGCGCAACAGCAGCATCGCGGCGCTGCGCCTGAAGGCCAAGGAGCACATCCAGGCCATCGGGAAGCCGTGGCCGGCCCTCTAGGGGCGCGGGGCCCAAACCGGGCGCCTGACCACCCGCCCGGAGCCGACCACGCACCGCAGGCGTGCGCCCCTCTCCCTGGGACCCCGACCCGGCCACGCCTTCCCGTGCAGCCCGAAGCTGCAGCCAGGGTCTCGGGTGCGCATCCGTTCCAGACTGACCGGGAGGACTGACCCTCAGGCCGGCCGAGGCCCCTTAGCCACCCCAAACCCCCGGAGACCCCCAGCCTCACTGCTCGAGGGGGAGCAGCGAGCGGCCCGGCCCTGTCCGAGGGACCCAAAGCGCCGGGCCTCCGCGGTTCCCGGGCGGCGTGGCAGCCCCAGAAAACGACTGGGAGGAAGGGGTGGGGGGGCGGGGGCGGGGAAATAGAGTTTGAAGAATTGTTTGTATAAATAGTTTCAAAGTATTTAGAGGAAAATTAAAGATTTACTTGTTTTGGTTGGACTCCAGTTAAACGCCCTCGGGACTGCGGCGGTGGAAGGAGAGTGTGGGTGTGAATGGCGTGGGAGAGGGACTGTGCTGTGGGCCGGGGGTGGGTCACGGAAAGTAGGAGGGTGCGCGGAATCCGGGCGCCTGTGCTACCCCCGGGCGCACTGTGCTTCCGCGGAGCTGTGTCCCCACCCTGGACAGTGTCCCCATTCCCAGCGCCGCGGCGTCGGGTCCAAAGCTGCTCCTTCGGGTGCTGAAGGGCGCGTGCGAATGCGCGGCGTTCGGGGTGTTTGGGGCCTCAGGCTCCTCTGCCTATGCGCTGCCCCGACAGCCCGGTTGAGGCTGCTACTTGGAAGGATGGACCCCCCAATGGGAAGCGTCTGCACCACCTTCCCAAGGTGAGAACTGAACCTCTCCAAGCCCCTGGCGGCCCTGCCTCCCTCTTTCCAGCGCGCCGCGGCCAAGGCCCCCTCAGATCATGGTCCAGGTCACCAGTCGGTGCCAGCCTGGTACCCAGGGTCCATGACATTAATCCTCCGAATTCCGGGAGCGACTTTCCCTTCCCTGAGCCCTGCGCCTCTCTCTCGCCCCTCCCCCAACTCGCCCCGCCCCCCCCCCCCCCAGCGGTTCCGGTGAATCCCTGCGGGGAATGTGTCCCGGAGCGCTCTGTGCCCGACGGGAAGGCACGTCCTCGCGGGGCACTGCGGGCAGCATCTGCAGTTCTCTGGCACCCGCTCTGGGGTGGAGAAGGAATCTGGAGGCCCCCGGGGCTTCAGAAGCCCCCCGGGTTCTCGCGGTAAAGCAGGGCCCGGGGCTCCCAGGCTGAGCGGCTTTGGTATCCGAAATTGACCCTGGAAGCTGGGCGGCCGGTCCCCTAGCTACGCTTACACCCCGAAAGGTGCTGCCAGAGCCTGAGCATCAACCGCCTACTGTCTGTCGGTGGTTAGTTAGCTCGTTAGTAAGCCACCCAGTCCCCCGCCCCTTCCTAGTCAGAACGGAGCCCACCTCTCTGGGAGGTGGGAAAGATGGAATCAGGTCACCTGTAAGTCTTTTGTATACATTGTCAATTACCCAGCGTGAAGCCCTAGGCGTTGTGGGCCGTTTCTCTGATCCCCGCAGCATCCCTGCGCTGCGCTTGGCTTCCTAAAACCTCCTTGGAAGGATGACTGCTCCTGGCTTGGGATAGAGGGAGTCATTGCAGAATTCAGGCCTTGCTATGCCCGGTTGGAGAGGCTGTGGCATACACAGGGCTGTGTACCCTTGCCCTCCCTCTGGTGTCTTGCACATAGTAGGTTGGTCGGTAAGCATTTATTTAATCAGTTATTTCCCCCAAGATATAAGAAGAATACCTGCGCTTTCGCTCAAAAGATGTTCCTTGGGGAAGTGGATGAAGTGGCCCAAGTGACATCAGCTCTTGGCAAGAAACAATAGGTAAACTTGAATGCATAGGTAAATTTCTTTCAGGTCTGCCTGTCCTCTTTCATTCTTTAACACCGAGGAATAATTTATTCAGAGAACTCCCAAATTCACTGCCCTCGCCCTCTGCCTGCCCTCATTATTCCTATCATAGTCTTGGGCCCATCCCCACATCAACATCTTCTTCACTTTTCTTAGATTATTTCCACAATTGTTCATTTTGTTTCCACCCTGCCATTTTTCTTTCAATTCTTTTTTTAAATATATTTTTTTTCTTGATTTCAGAGAGGAAAGGAGAGGGAGAGAGAGATGGAAACATCAGTGATGAGAGAGAATCATTGATTGGCTGCTTCCTGCACACCCCCTACTGGGGATCCAGCCGAAACTTGGGCATGTGCCAGACCTGAAATGAAACCATGACCTCCTGGTTCATAGGCGTGGCTCAACCACTGAGCCACACTGGCTAGGCTCTATTTTTTTTCATCTACATTTCCCCACTACCCCCTTCTCTTCCTTTACTATTTAGTTCAGTTTGAGAGTGGATATTCTGCTAAACCATCTCTTTAGGTATCAACAATTTGAGCCATTTCAACTGGATTTCAGGGACAAGTCCTTAGGAAATGAGAATAAAATTGCTAAAGGTTAATGATCACTGAAAACTGTGCCAACAGGCTTCTAAGCGGTTTACATCTCTCTGTTGACTCATAGAAGACTCACAACCACCCTACCAGGAAGATACAATTAGCCCTGTTTTGTAAAGGAGGAAACTGAGGCCCAGAGAGGTTGCCCCAGTTAACAGCCTTGTAATCTTTGGAGCTGTAACAACCACAAGCTGGGTCGGTTCACCATCATAGTGCTCGCCCAGGAAACATTTGCTGAATAAATGCTCCTTATTTCAGTTCCCAAGAACAGCTCGTTAGGCCACCTGGAAACTGAGGTCCTGAGAGGTGGGAGCGAGCTGTGAGTGTTTTCCTGGGCCTCCTGGGGAGGGCTGGACCACACCCCTGTCTCAGCACCCCACCCCCAACCCCAGGGGCTGTCTAGCAGGGCAATCTAAAGTCGGAGGTTCTTGCTGCCGGCTGCAGCCGAACTGGTGCCCCTGAGACTGGAAGCCAGTACCTAACTCAGGCTGGAGGTGAGAATGGCTCGGGACAAGGAGCTTCAGAGCCCCAGACAACCCTGAAGCGCGTGGGGCCGCTACTCAAGCTCAGGGCGACAGAAATCACTCTGCAGAGGCGCTGGCTTCCAAAACCAGACTGTGCTGGCTCTGCTTTGGGGCGGGCACACGGGACTCCGGGGAAAGGCCTCCCCAGCAAGCCCGCACCACTTGGGAAATGGCTGTTGAGTCTTCGTAATGAGCCTGAGGGTCCCCTGAAGGGGAACGAGAACCTGTAGCGAGTGGCCTTACGGGGTTCAGAGAGGAAAGACACTGCTGCTCGGCGCCCAGCGACCCAGATGGAGGCGGGCCTTGATCCAGGCCGACCTGGGTGCCGTTCATCTTAGAGGGAGGCTTGGTGACCCTTTCCCAGAGGATGACGTCTGCTCTGGCCGCGAGAGGCCAGCAGGTGAGTCGGAAGAGCAGCTATTTTGGGCTCCTGGGAATCCTGTTGGGCGGCGCCCAGGGAAGGACGCATGGAATTGGACTGCTGGCGAGAGACAGGCGGAGCCAGGCGCAGCCCTGGTCCCGTACCCGACCGTCCATCGCGCTCGCCCGGGACCCTCCGCTGACCCTGTGGTCCCCTGCTTGCGCGGAGCCAGCCACCCGGCTCCCGGCCTCCATCAGTCTCTCCTGCGGCGGTGGGGGAGCTTCGGGTTCGCGATTTTCCCCGGGAGAAGTCTCTTCCTGGACACTAGGTGTCTTGTCCGTGGTGCGCACCACGGCTCCCCGCCTCTGGGGGCGATGCTTTCTCTACCGCGGGACGCGGGGGACTGCGGGCTCCTCTCTCCCGCTCGCTGGTCTCCAGAGCCGCGGGGTCCAGGGCGGCCCAGCCCCTCGGAGCTCTCTTCACCGGTGTCACCGGGGCTCCGCGCTGGGCTCCAGGTCCGTCCAAGCTTTTCATCCATCAGGGGTTTCCGGCTCTCGGAACCCCGTCAGCCCCCTGCGGGTCCGCGCTCCCACCTCCGCCGCCCTGAGGATGATCAGGGCTACTGTGGGTGACGCGAGGACTCGGGGAGTCCTTGGGAGGGGCAGGCTTCCCCAGGGGTCAGCAAGTGGACTGGGCAGCCCCGCTGGGTGCAAGTGGAAGAGTTATCAAACCAGGGAAGACAACTCCTGCCCGCCCCACCCCGCCCTAGTGAACCTAGAATCCCGCGAGTGGAGGGAGGGAACCCCGATCCTGGCCTCTCACCGCCAGATTCATCGGTTAATTGAAAGTCTTTGCGGAGACCTAGGAGAACCTGCGTGAGGGAAGCGGGGACAGTAAGACTCCGCTTCTGGGGAGCCGGGTCCCTCCTGCGGGCATGTACGGTAGGGATGTCAGGGTGTGGACCCAGCCGCCCCCAGGACTTTAGCATTTGAGGTGCTGTCTATGCCGCCCCCCTACACACACACACACACAAACACACACACACGCACACGCACACGCACACCTCCAGCCCCAACCCCAGTCCCAGGGCCAGGAAGCTGGCAGGAAAGGACTTTTGGGGAAGATATTAAGAATGAGAATTTGGCATTTCCTCTGCCCCGGAAGCCAGAGTCCGCCCCCGCCCCGGGAGCTCGGCCTATGTCCTAAACTGCCTGGGAAAGGGGCGCAGGTCCCTTCAAGAGCCCCAGGGCGCACTTAGTGCCAATGTCTCCTTAATTGGGAACTGGCTCTAACAATCTGACCTCGGTTTGTTAACTGCACAATAGTGGGCAGAGTTAATGACTCATTAGTGATTAATTTCTTAACTGTCTTAACTGCTCACTGTAAAAGCCCTTTCGTAAAACTGGATTAAATCATCTAGATCGTTGGCCACGTCTCACAGCCTATATAATTTTATTAACCAATGTAACCCCAATAAATTCAATTAAAAAATTCCTTTAGAATCCTATAAACCTCGTGACATGTAACTACTGGGCAGGACAATATGACAGGCATCTACGCTACCTGACTGGGTTATAGTGCCACTGGCAGCTACTTCAGGACAAGCAGCTACTATTGCCAGAAGCAGCCATTATCAGGACAGGAAGCCACTGTT